TATTTTCTAGTATTTTAGAAACATAGATTTGCTATGTACAATTTCCCCCCAGTACTGGGGGAAAACAGTTAAATCTGTTGTAAGAAAATGTGGAGAACCAGCCAAATTCCAACACTAACCAGCTTGGTGACTCTGCATTTAGTCTCCCTGGGTCACTTTTTGTTTTTCACCTGTAAAATGAGGAGGAAAAAGATAATCTCTTCAAAGTTCTTTAAACTAATAACCTTAGACACATTATTATATAAACTTTTAACTATGTGCTAACATTTTTGTTAGGGGATTTGCTGTGGAGTGGATTGTGTCCCCACAAGATTCATACATTGAAGTCATAACCCCCACTGTGACTGCATTTGGAGATAGGGCCTATAATGAGATAATTAAGGTTAAATGAGGTCATAAGGATGGCGCCCTGGTCCCATTGAATTAGTGTCCTTATAAGAAGAGACACTAGAGAGCTCAGGTGCATGCTCACTGGCTCTTTCTCAGTGCTTGGTAGAAAGGCTATATCAGGACAAAGCAGTCATCTACAATCCAAGAAGAGCTCTCACCAGAAACAGAACCTTACTAGAACCTTGATCTTGGACTTTCCAGCCTGAAAACTGAGAAAATAAATTTCTGTTGTTTAAGCCACCTAGTCTGTTGTATTTTGTTACGGCATCCCAAGCATACTAATACAAGATTTATCCATATTGAGTATATATTTCTGAATTGAGTTCGTAATTTATATGATTTGTAAATAAGATACACAACTTTCTGTTGGAATAAGAAGTGAAAGGTTTTAACCTGGTGGTGGAAGGAAGACTCCACCATTTCTGTTTTTCTCTGAGCCCCTACGTCCTGAGGAATTATGGTATTGAGTTGGGTATTATAAGTAATTCAGTTGAATTTTTGAGCTAAGTAGCAGAAGAACCTGAACATAGTTGAGAAGCAACTATTATTTGAAGGCAGAATGAAAGAACCAAGCTAGAGAGGTTCTTTCTTTACCCATATCTACCTACAATATTAATAACCTTGTTAAATACCTCTGTTATAGCAATTAGTATTATATTGGTGGGGATTGATATCATATAGTTGATGTTACCACCTACAAACTTCATTCTAAGTAATCTAAGTCTAATGAAAAGCAAATTGTCAGAGTGGGGGCTTGAAAATGCCTAAGGCTGCTGGGGGTTTTTTTGTGTGTGTTTTTTAACCTCTGTTTGTGCCATAGTATAGCAGGGGAAATACGGTTTATGATAAATTAATATTGCTAAGTAAATACACCTGTTTCATAGTTGTTCCCTTCTCCTACAAACATATTTCTGACCTGTTCTGTACTGCATCAATAGGATAGTCTTAAAGAAGAGCATAGGAAGTGGCATGCAACTTGAACTGGGGACTATCCTGCCCAGATTTACATTGCTTTTCTATACTGTTGCTGATTCCATGCAACTACATTTCCCTGAGAGCTACTACTATTGACCTGATGGTATTGGCTGCCAGTTGGCAGGGAGGATTCACCTAGATTAGGTGGTTACTTCTTGTTCCTGTCTACAGACTTGGAAAAATGGAGAGAGTTTTTCCAAAGATTTCTTAAAATGTAGTGGTACAAAATGTTCAGAAATAGGAAAATTCCTTAAAAAGCAATGTCTTGTTACCCTCAGGTAAACATTTCCATTAATATTTCATTTCATTTTGAGCCCCTTTCTATTTTGTATATTTTTCAATGTATGTAGGTGACCTTAAAACATGTGGTAAAAGTTATTTTCCAAAAACATTCCATTTCTGTCTTACTATGAACTGTTTTCCTTGTACCCTTGTCATTGGGCAGCTTCTGTTAACAGGCTCAAATCCCTTTTTATACTTTGATCTGTCTCTGAGTATGTTGAGGTCTTATGTCCTTTTGGGAACTCATACATGTTTTAATAACACATTTGAGAATGAAATTGCCTATTTTTTCCCTCTGTGTGTTGGGAAAATAAAACTTTATTGCTATTTTTACATAATATAAATTTTACATAATATTGGATGTCCCTATAGTAATTGCCCTATACAAAATAGTTATCACTCTCAAGTTATCTTTTGTGCTCATTTATGTATATTCTGTTTCAGTCTACATTAAAATCATTAACTTCCCAAGTTTTTACTCCATTAAATAGTGCTTTTAGGTATTTTGGTTTTTTTTCAATTCCATATATGTATTCTTTATAAAAGACATTGGATAAGCCTTTGCAAATGAGAAATTAGAGTCCCAGCTTATGAAGGAATAGTTTTAATCTGTCTACTAAAAGCCTGATTTTTTCCATCTTTGGGCATCTGTCCTAAACTCAGTGGAGTTGTCAAGTAGAAATCCTTCACATCTTTGACACAGATAGTTCCCCGCAGTACCAAAGTGGATGTTGGTAAGGAACAGGGAGAGAGCAGACAAGTCTGCATCTGCTTTACCTCTTGTGAGGGCTCTGTAGAACACATGTTCAACAGTTCCTAAAATTCCTAGAACATTAAATCTAGAAGAGACCGCGGTCCTGTACATTTTCCCATCTCCATGCTCTTACTTATTATGTATGAAGTACCTTGTCTCCCAGGCTGCCTGGCAAAATGCAGCTTATGCTCTAGCATCCTACCTCCTGCATATATCATCCCTTCATCAGTGACAGCATAGCATTATAAGAAACTGTATAATTTCCCCCACTATGTGTTTGAATACCCTCCAACATATTTCATAATATAGTGTTTAATATGTGTGCTTTGTCTATTTATCCTACAAATTTTGAATATTAGTTTGAGTAGAGAGGATTATATAGTAAGAATGATGTCCATATATATTTTAGTGAGATAAATAAGAGAAGTGAAAGTAAAGTACTTTTAAATGACTTTCATTTCTGTGTTTCTGATAGGAAATGAATTCACTTGCAGTTTTAGATTTCTCTCTTTAGTCACTGAGGAAGAGAATATGCCACTTAGTTCAGTGTTATTGAAAAGCCATCATGATATTTTAAAGACATGTTATATATGGTACAGTGTGATTCACTTTGTTCTGGTTCTGCCAAGGGGCATGTCTTACATAGAGATATTTTGTATAGGTGGTGTTATGGGAGAGGATTGATATCTTACTGTTCATATAATGGTTGCTGACATTGACTCCACCAAGTTAGAAAGTAAAAAATGAAGAGGTGAAATTCATCTTTAGAGATAACATGTGGATTTTAGGATACTAGTATTTGTGAGAAAATAGTTCTGTCTAATTCTTGACTTTCTGATCTATTAGTCAAGAGCAAACTGGAACATTAGAATCTTATCTCAGACATTCAGTGCACATGATGTAGAAAACAAAAAACCTTGAATTTACATTTTGCTTTTTATTTTAGTACCTTTACTGTAGGTCACTCAGCATTTGAATACTAACATGGACAGCAACTTGACCTTGTGTTTTAGTCATCTTTTTCAGTGCCTCTGGGCATTTGGTTTCTGGAAGAAGGTAATTCTTAGTACATACTGCTTCCTGGTTTGTATACTGTTTATTTGGGAACCTGTCTGCCATTGTGGCTACCTGTCAGAACTCAGCATAATTTAAATGTTTGAGGTGGGTGATTGAAGTGCTTCAACAGTATATCTGTTCAACCTCTGATGACTGACTAGAGAGTACTTTAAAGAAAGACTATGTTCTCCAACTCAATGACATAGTATCACAAATAAATGACATACGGTATGTCCCTCTAAGATTTAAATTTTTAGAAAGCTGAAATCCACTATATTATACCAATAATACTATGAATACTCATATTAATAGGAACCATCCTCAACTATAGGTATTGATCTTTTTACACAATGTCCTAAAATTTTAATTTATTTAATAAAACCGACATATAAAGTTGCTTCTGATGAAAATAATTGTTTTTAGACTTAACCAATAATTAAGGCTGTCAGTGGTTTGCTGCAGAATCCAAACATTTACTGTATTAAACTCCATTTAAAACTATATTACTTTCTTGATGCCATTATATTATAGTAGATGCTTTGGTAGTTGATGCTTGAGAAATTATACTTATTGACAATACTTTTTTTAAAAAAAATGTCTTTATTGATTTCAGAGAGAGGAAGGGAGAGCGAGTGAGAGAGATAGAAACATCATTGATGAGAGAGCCATTGATCGGCTGCCTCCGGCATGTGCCCTGACTGGGAATTGAACTGTGATCTCCTGGATCATAGGTCGACGTTCAACTTCAAAGCCACTCTGGCTGGGCTATTGGCAATACTTTTATCTAAAATTTAAAATATATTTTTTGGCTTCAGAGAATTACTTCGTTAATGTTTACCATTGTCCTTCAGGTCTCTGAACCCTACTCATTTTTATAAACCAAGCTGAAGATCATCAAGCTCGATGAAATTTTCTTCTATCCCAGTAGCTTAATTTATGGGAGTTTGCTGTGAACATGCCCGCCTCCTGTACTGGCTCCTAGAGAGCAACTACTATGTTTTAGGCAACTTTGTATTTACTGTAGCACCTTTCACAATACTTTGCCCTGATATTCAGTTATTTATTGTAATTGGTGATTTTCTCTCTGATTTTCTAAACTTAGATTTATGAATCAATCAGTAACTTGAGGTTTAAATAAGTAATCAGGCAGTTGGCCATGATGGCATTTTGAAAATGATGCTTAAGCCTCTGTAGTCAAGATTGTCCAGGTTTGAGTTCGTACTTTATGTATGAACTGTGGGATTGCCTCATACCTAAAATAGAAATGTTAGTAATAGCACTGGTCTCCTAGAGGTGTCAGTGAGGCTAACATAGATAGTTTGTCTAAAACATTTACTGTGCTGCCTAACACATAGGATATGCTCAATATATTGCAGCTGTAATTATTACTAAATGCAGTCCTATTGGGCCAGACCCAGCCCCTTGAAGTCCTGTCATTTGGTCTTTCTATCGCAGGCATCTAACCTTGCATATAGTAAATACTCAATAAATACTTACTTAAGTTGAATTGATTGATTTACCCTATTTTTGTCTTCCATTACAGCCCACTGTTTGTAACGTGGAAGATTGGTCGAGACAAAAGATTGCGTGGATGCATAGGTACTTTTTCCGCCATGAATTTGCATTCAGGACTCAGGGAGTACACACTTACCAGGTGAAGAACAGTTTTTGTTACCTCTGTTTCTATATTTAAAAAAACTTATAAAACTGGAACCTGATTATTTAATTCCTTTTCCTTTCCTGAATTGTCAATATTCTTGACTCCTTTCATGTTCAGTTTTTTCTTCCATCATTTGCCGTATCTCTGGTAAAATGTGGTTGATATATATATTATCATAATATAAAGTACTGTGATTACATGTATTCTGCCATAGAAGTTTTAAAGTGTTTTTCTTTTCTTTCAATACCAGATTATTTTGTATTATTTGAAAATCAATAACCAAATGTCCATGGGTTACCAAAATGTATTATTTCAACAATTATAGTCATTGTGTCTTCTCTGTTAGGCTTTTAAAAAAATTGTTGATGTCTATTTCATCTTGCACATTTTGCTACACTTTTAGGTATTATTTAATTTGAGCCAGTAATCTAGGAAGAAAATGATGCCACAGCCTGGCAACATAATCATTCACATTCACACTTTACCCAGAATTAATTGTAGCTTACTTATTTTGTTTCATCAAACACAAAGACAAACTAATGAATGCCTCATTACAGTTTTTAGGACTTTGTTTTTAAATTCTGAACTCATAGAAAGCTATCTAGCGTGCCATCTCATTTTTTCCTTTTAAGTTTCTATTTCTAGCAAATTGTGTTCCAAAATTATTTCAAAAGAAGAAAATTCCTTAAATAATAAGCTATTAGTAAAGGAATTTCCTGTTTTTGTTCATATTTCAGGGTGATTATCTAATACAATTTCTATAGTTGTAATATGTACAAGTGTCCGTCCAACAAGAAATTAGTCCCTCCTGACTATTGGTACTTGGGGCAAGTTGCTTAACCCCCAATAGATAAAGTAGTAGTTACAGTATGTATTTTGTTCTATATACATAAGAGAGATGTGAGAGAGATGTTAGGGGAATGAAGTAATAATCAATCACTACTTCAGGATTAACATTGTGGAACATTGATTGTTTTACTGTAGAATCTCATAGATGCAGCTTATAACACCAGTTAATAAAATGCCGGTAACTGAATTTAGTATTCTTTTATTTGAAGGTGTAGCTCAGAACTGCATGGTTTTCTTAGCTTACAGTGAAGCCCAGAAAGAAAATAAAAGAAAAGACTTAGAGGGTCATTCTTAGATTTTCACAGGTATTAGAAACTTGGTGTTTGGACTTGATTAAATAACATACAGGCAGCAAAGGGGTCAAAACACATATTCTGGAAATAACTACAGCTTGCTAAAGATAGTGCAAATGCTAGTCTAGGCATGTTAGATTTTTTTCCTGACATAAAATACTATGGACTCCTTTTTTAAAAATGTATTTGTTTATTTTATTGAATTTATTGGCAGAATTTGCTAAAGCCTCTTTGGGACAGGTGCTTATGAAATGACACTTTTAATAGCTAATCAAGGCAATTTATTATACATTTCCTAGTATAATTTGTTCTGAGGAACACTGATTGGTTCCTTACTATTGCCTGAAGAAAAGGATTCTATGGCCAAATATATTTTGGGAGCACTGATTAAACAAATTTAAACAGCTCTACTCACTGCAGGACTTCTCAGAACCTTTTCTGTTCACAGTGTTGTTTATCTCTAAGAGAGAGAGAGAATGCAGCACTTCCCAGACTTCAACTTTTTTTGTGACTATTGAACCCTTTTATCACCCTGCTCCAGCATCTTATGCCATTAGTGTGCTAAGGAATATATTTTCAAAAACATTAATTTTATTTTAAATTCTTTATATTTCTTTGTAGTTGAGTCTGAGTTGATAGCATGGAAACCCTTTGTACTTTCTAGTGAAATGTGCCAGAAATCCCAGTATCAAATATTATATACTTTAGAAACTTTTAGTAGTAGTAACTGTAGTAGCAATTTGGTTTTGTTTAAAGAAAATACTATTTTTTTGCCTACATTGATAAGAAAGGATGAAAATATCCAACTTTTCTGGACCTGTAGATCTGTTTCCAAGGGTAATTACCAGAAGAATTAGGGTATATTTTTCTGATAATGTGATTCTGAATTAATTGCTCAAGTAGTTGAGCTTAGGAATTTCCTACATTTGTATACTGGATTACCCGCATTGTAGGCTATGGCACTTGCTGTTTAATTTTTAATTTTTCCTCATGTTTTTATACAACTTCCTGAAATTGTATATATCACATTAGAGAGATGCATGTTTGTGTGTGTATGTACACATATACATATCTGGTCTTCTCATTTTTGTTTTGCTTAATTTCTTTTGCTTAATATTATAATAAAAATGACGTTATTTAGAAGAGATGAACAAAAGAAAACAAGTGTTACAATATATGGTTGCTCTTTTTTTCTGGATTAATTTTAGAATCAAAATTGTAGAGTCCTTTTTAAAAGTTGCAGTATAATGTCTTTCAGTCCAATAGGGCACTTATTACTTCTACATGCTGCTGCTGTTGCTACTGTTATTATTATTATTATTGTTAATAGCTGCTATTTATTAAGAACCTACTACATGTGAGGCACTGCGAAGGAGCTTTATATGCATGGTCCTCACAACAACTCTTAGGTATTAATATCCACATTTTAAAAATGTTTCTTTTATTTATTGAATTTAATGGGGTGACATTGGTTAACAAAATTATAAATGTTTCAGGGGTACAATTCTACAATACATCATCTGTATATTGTGTGTTCATCACCCCAAGTCAAGTCTTCTGTCACCACTTATTCCCCCCTTTTCCTCTGGAAACTGAGATTCACAGAATTTAAATAATTTACCCATTCACACATATAGTAAGTAGTAAGTGGTAGTGCCAGTATTCAAATCAGGCAATCTGACTGCAAAGTCCAAGCTCTTAACTGCTGCATTTAAGATGAGACAACATAAATTTTTCTGAGAATATATATTTTGCAGCTTCGTCATGAAAAAAATAAACATGAAAACAGATTACTGTAAATCATGGATCAGTAATTTTGTTGTTGTTAATCCTCACCAAGGATATTTTTTCCATTGCTTTACAGAGAGAGTGGAAGGGAAGGAGGGGGAGAGAGAAAGAGAGAGAGAGAAACATCAATGTGAGAGAGACACATGGATTGGTTGCCTCCCGTAACCCAGGTACATGTCCTTGAACAGAATGGAACCCTCCACCCTTTGGTGTGCAGGCCAATGCTCTACCACTGGGCTACACTGGCCAGGGCGGATCAATAATTCTTCAAAAATTCTAGTTAAGAGCTAAGATTGAAATTTTGGAAAGCTATTTTGTATTACAGGAAATCCATAGATGAGATTTAAAAAGTATATCACTCAGGGTTGTATAGGCTGGTCAGAAGAAAACTCACTTGGATTAATATTGTAGAAAAGGATAATGCTTATTACAAAAATATACTACTGTATGTATGAAATTGTGTTCTTTGGCTACATGTAAATAATGGACTAGACTCTAAGAAGAATACTGTTTTTCTTAGCATAATAATTGGTGATTCTAGGAGTCTGTTCTTCTAATCTTAAAAACCCATAAATCACAAAATTGACAAATGGAATAAAATGAATTTAGGGGATTGGGGAAGGAGAAGGCAGAACGAAAAATAAACAATGAAATTAAAGACTCACCAGGCACAGGTATCTTTTAAAAAACCTGCTTTTCACTATGTTCAACTGTGATTAGATAGGCTATTGTTCAGTTTTCAAAATGTTACTCAGCTGTAGCCTTTTTATTTTAAAGTATATGTAACATAAAATTTACCATTCTAACCAATTTTAAGTGTACAGTTCTGTGGCCTTAAGTTCATTTGATGTGCATCATCACCACCACTCATCTCTAGAACTTTTTCATCTTCCCCAACTGAAATTCTGTACCTACTGAACACTAACTTCCCATTTCCCCCTCTCCGAGCCCTGGCAACCTTTATTCTACTTTCTGTCTGTATGACTATGACTCTTCTAGGTACCTCATATATAGTATTTGTCCTTTTGTTACTGGCTTATTTCATTTAGCATAATGTCTTCAAGGTTCATCCATGTTGTAGAATGTGTTAGAATTTCCTTCCCTTTTAAGGCTGAATAATATTCCATTGACTATACCTACCACATTTTGTTGATCCATTCATCCATCTGTGGATACTTGAGTGGCTTCCAGTTTTTGCAAGTAACGCTGCTATGAACACGGGTGTACAAATACCTGCCTGAGTACCCTTTTTTTTCTTTTAAAAAGCTAACCATTTTATAGAAGAGAACAATCTAGTTTGTTTGTGGTCCCCTAATCTCTAAAACCTTAATCTAAAAAAAATGACCAGGTACTTTTTAAATAAAATGCCTATCCTGGATTAAGTTTTTATTTATAAACATACTTTTTAAAAATTAAAATATTTGTCATAGTCAAGGTGTATGTTCTCTTTGGATGAAATTTTGATTTTAGACTGAAGTAAAACCTTATAAATGGGCTGAGGATTTCCTCCCCATTGTAAAGATGCATAATTTCTGTGTAGATAGCAGGAAAACTTTGTAAGATTTATGACATGGAACTATTAAATAAGCTATTCTTTCTTTGTCCTTGGAGACTCTGTGTAAAAGCAGGAAAAACTATAGCAAATAAGAAGCAGAATGGAGGGCTGGGAATTATTGATAGAAGTTTATCCATGGTGACAAATTAAAGTCCACAAATAACTATACTTATTAGTGGTCAGAACTTCAAAATAGAAATATTCTTTGTCTCAGTTGAAGAAGAATAACTTCTAGCATTTACCAAGGTACTTGCATTTATGGCTTTTTATGTTAGAAAACAGACAATTTATAAGATAACATAAGATTAACACGTATAGATTAACACAGACATCACAGTCAAAGAATATTCCCTAAAATGTTTGGCCAATAAATTGTCAACCAAAGTGTTGATTTATTTCTTTGTGAAAATTCAAGTTGGTAGTAATTTTTGTAGAATGAAAATCACACATAAGTGATTAGTAGATGTATTCTTATTTCATAAAAGGAATGTGGATTCTAAGTGATTATA